CTCACCTCTGTATATTAAAAAAATAATACATCAAACAAGGCTGCTTCAATATTTGAAAATCAACTGATGAAATCCACCATATTAATAGGCTAAAGAAGAAAAGTCGCATGATCACATGGAAAAAGAGCTTTTTGCTATTTCCCACTTAGAGTTAATGAAGCCAAACTGATCTTTCACACACTCCACAGTGGCACTGCTCAGTGGTGTGATGTTGTAGGCCATAGTCTGTGCATTTTGGCCTAGGACACACAGTTGGAACTTGACACTCTCCCTTTTCTGCAAGCAATCCCCTTTGTTGGCCATTCCAACTATGCCAAATGGATAAACCTTACCTTTCATATTCCTTTCCTCCATGATCTCAATTATTTATTTCTTGCTACTCAGTCTGGGTTGGATCAACACTCCTCAAGGGGTTAATGACTTTATCAGAGTACATGGTAGGATCAGCTTCTTCAATAATGCCATTCACTGAGAATGTTTTGTTGACTTTTTCTGCACTGACTTTGCCTTTGGGCAACCTGTACTCCATCATGTCTCCCAGTTCCAGGCTATTGACATCACCAGAGAACTCACTGTAGTGGAAAAAAGATTTTCCTATAGTGATTCGCTGTTTGAATAAATTCAAAATTATCCTTCAGAGTTGCTACATAACTGATGAGCCTTTTGGAGTTAGAATTATGACCTAAAAGTCACACACAGCTTACAATCTACTGTACAGGCTTGTTTGTCACTAATACTAAGTTCAACCTTATTTCCTATTTGAGGAGAAGTGGATCAGTGGCTTAAAAGTAATAGTCAATTTCACTCCACAATTGTCCTAAATAACATCCTTAGCCTCTTTTTTTTTTTTTTTTTGCCTTTGTTTGAGTTAGTGGTTTTAGGATAAAAAAAAAATGGCTTCTTTTTCTAAAGTGCCCAAAAAACTATGATCTGAATAGAAGTGGAATAAAACTGTGCCCTTGGGATACTTTTTAATCCTAACAGCATGATTTCTTAGGGCAGAGAGCATATTAGGAAGTATAGTAAACTCGACTTCCTCTGCGATATGCATCTAGTTCCCATGAAGAATTTCACTATAGTGGAAGAAGATAGGAGCATCATTTGATGATGAATCCATACATTTGATGAAACCAAAACCATCTTGTATGATAGCAATTACACCCATTTTTCTGGCTTCATCACTGAACCAGGATGGACTTGATAGAAGTTCTCTGTTAGTTGCTCATTCTAATTTGTCACTTAGGTCTGTTGAAATATTAAGCTTAACATGGTCACCTTCCAACAGGGTCACCTTGGATTTTGTATTTGTGTCTACAAAGGGAAGTTCTTTAGGAATCACAAAGTCTACTTCGATGTGTCCTGTCAATGGGTCATTCTGTTTTTTCCTGAGTGCTTTTGGGATAATGTTGGTTAGAGTTCCTTCAAAATGTTCAATGCCGATATCTTCAAAAATGACTGTTCCTTGAGGCAATAGTCTGACATCTATTTCAACTTCTTTATCATTACTGTCCTTGTTATGAATTCCACAACGTCTCCAGGTTGTAAGGCTCCTAAGTCACCCTTAAATTCACTACAGTGAAAGAGTATTTCTTTTATAACATCACATCTTTCATTAAAGACAAACACCTCCTTCATGGCACAAACTACTCCCTGACAGCGGGCTTGTTTGTTTTTCAACAGCGTGTTTCGAGCACTTATAGCACCAGTATGTTTATTGTGATCAATTACAAAGTTTATTTTAACTCCAGTTTCCAGCTGAACATTTTCTTCCACACCTTCAGGACCTGTAAGTCAGATGAAACACTTCTTGTCCGTTTATTCATTCTTCAAGGAGGATTTCTGCTTTTATCTTCACCAGTTTAACAGCAATGGGTTTCCGCTGGTCAGATGATACTTCAAATTCAACATTATCTCCTACTTTTAAGTCCTGCAGGTTTCCATTATGCTATGGAAAGTGGAAGAAAAGTGTAGCTTGACATTCTGAAGACTGAATAGACCCGTTAGAGGTTATAAGTTTTTCAATAACCCACTTTCACACAGTGCTGCTGAAGTACCATTGGGGTACCAATTGTGTCCATTGTTGTGGAGAAGATTTGGATCAAAGCTCATCTCTCAGTGATAATCAAATATTGCACTTTCAGTAGTAATTGCTGATTCTTCTTTTTCAACACATTTCAAAGGATGAAAGTTGCCAGTATTAAAAAAATGTGAGAGAAAATGACCTAAAGCTAATAAAGAATACAACTGCTGTTGCACTGGGCAATCTCACAGTACAGCACTGAAAACAACGAAGATGACTGACTAGCAGTAATGGGAAGTGCTCGTTCAAAGTTTTTGAGTAGGCACAGACTTCTTATTGCAGACCAAGTGTTGTGTACTCTTTTTTGGTCTTATTGGTTGTTTCAAAGTTTGTTCCTTGCCTGGTCTAAACTTGAAGCAGTAGTTTCAGGTGGCAAAGTCTATTCTATTACACTTCATACCCAACAGCTCAGTGCCCCCTCCCCAGCAATGCCAGAAGCAGCACGCCTAACACATAGAGTTTATTTTGTTTTTTATATTTTATGTATAAGTGAAATCATATGGAATTCTTCTTTCTCTGTTTGACTTAGCATTATACCCTCTAGGCCCATTCATATTGTGGCAAATGGCAAGATTACCTTTCTTTTACTGGCCGAGTAATATTCCATTGTCTATATGTACCACTTCTTTATCCATTTGTCTATCAATGGACACTTAGGCTGCTTCCATATCTTGGCTATGGTAAATCATGCTGCAATGAACATAGGAATGCATATGTCTTTTTGAACTAGTGTTCAGGGTTTCTTTGGATAACACTCAGAAGTGGAATTGCTGGGTCCTTCTTTGTTTCCTATTATGGGCTTTTTAAAAAGTTTATTTTGCCTGATGTAAGTACTGCTGCTCTTAATTTCAGTTTCATTTGTTCTTATAGTTTCAGCAATAGCATGCTATTGAGGTGTGTATATGTGTGTGTGTGTGTATGTGTGTGTGTGTGTGAGAGAGAGAAAAAGAGAGAGAGAGAGAGAGAGAGAGAGAGAGAGAGAGAGAGAAAGAGAGAGAGAGAGAAAGAAAGAGAAAGACCTGGCACAGAAGAGGCTCCCAATGAATACTTGTTAAATGAATGAAGTATAAATACTAGGACATTTATTCCCATATCTTTATAGTCTGATATTCTCCACCCCATGTTTGATAAGTTTGTTGTCTACAGAATTTTGCCCACAACTCTAACACTATATTTATCCTGTTGGAGCCTTCTGTTCAAAATGTTTTTCATAATATTGAAATATTATATTTAGAATAAATTAAGGAGTCACTCAGCATAACTTCTCTCTCTAAATTCATAAATAATAACTCATGTACAAATTTAGAAAACAAGTAATTCTTGAGTGCCTAATCTGTACCAATCTTCTTGTAAACATTAAAGAACATGGGCTTTTGAGCCAACTTTTAGATATGGAAGATTAAAGAGAGAAAGAAAATTAAAGAGAAGCCAACAACTGAGAATCATAATTTAAATATAACTGAAATAAAGCAATAAGTATAATTAAAATTTTTGGGGAGTGTTATAGGGCCAGAAACTAATAATGAGTACATAGGTATTACAGCAAAGATTTTCAACTGCAAATGTGAGGAGAGAGTCTTTCAAAAGATTGCTGGCCAACTTTTGGCCTGGTCTTTGTTATGCAGTTCATTTATTCAGTCACAAGAGGGGGTTGGTTCATCTGCAAAAAACATTTCTTTCTGGGAGAAGGGCAGATAAATATGTTTTCCATTGACATTTTACAGGGAAAAAAGGCATACTTTCTTCCTCTTCAGGCAACTTGTACTTCATAATTTCTTATTGAGTATGTGTGGTCAAAGATTCAGGGGCCCTTAGACCAATAACCTAAGTCCTATACATGTACCTCCATAAATAACTTTCTCTCCACTTCTCCTTGATTATCTCTTACTTTCCCTATTCTTTATATATGTTTTTCTTCCCTCCGATAACCTTTCTACAATCTCCACCTCCTCCATCATTTTTGCTTTTCCTCTTCTCTTTTCTTTCTGCCTCACCAACCCTGGTGCACAGCACCCATAGCCTGGCATAGAGAAGATGAGTATTAAGGATATTTCTTTAAGGAGAAGAGGATGAGCACAATTCACGTAATCAGTTACTATATCAAGAGCAGATGCATTGAAAAGTGTCTACCTAGACAATAGTAGATATCATGATTCCAGGAAACTCTATAGGAAACCTGAGCTCCCAAAGGTGTAGCTTTTAGCTTCAACGCTGTTAATTTTTCCTGTCCCTTTGAGCACATCACTGACTTCTTTTGAATCTCACCTGCATCTTCTGGTATGTAAATAGAAATTTCATCTTCTTACAGCACAGAGCTCAGTACAATTTTCTGGGATTAAATGATACTTTGTATAAACTCCTTGGAGCATCAGCCAATTTCTTTGGTACATTGAGGAAGAAATTATGGAAGAAAGGTCCTGTATAGAAACATCCTCATGATTTGTTTTCCTTATCTAGAGTCAAACTTTATTTATTTATTTATTTTCAAATATATTTTATTGATTTTTCACAGAGAGGAAGGGAGAGAGATAGAGAGTTAGAAACACCGATGAGAGAGAAACATCGATCAGCTGCCTCCTGCACACCTCCTACCTGGGGATATCCGCAACCCAGGTACATGCCCTTGACCGGAATCGAACCTGGGACCCTTCAGTCCGCAGGCTGACGCTCTATCCACTGAGCCAAACCGGTTTCGGCTAGAGTCAAACTTTAAACCTCACAAATAATATTAGTGGGCACCCTGAGAGTTGGAGATATCTGGTTGACATTCTCCCCTTCTTCTTGGGGACATAGATAAAGCAGGGGAGAAAGATCTAGAGAAGGAGCTGCTCTATCATTGGCTGACAAGATCCTGGCAACATCACAGTGGTAGCTGCAGTTGTAAGTCTTTACTAGTAGCTGTTGCTTCTGTTATCTGGAATCTCTTTAAGACTCAACTCAGACACAAAGACTGAACTTTGGGCTCATGATCCCAGCCCTTCCTTGAAGTATGAGGCTGCTCACTGGAGTAACTGTGTTTCTGACCTTGGGTAAGTGTTCTGTGCCTACCAAAAGGGACCTTGAAGGGTTATTTGCTCTCTAGTTCTCTCCCAAACTAGAGTTGGAGCTGAGAACTGATCTATGCATTTGTCTAGGGAGAACAAACTTCTACATGACAGATTAAATCATAACCACTACCCCAGAAGAACCCTTAGCAGTATCCAGATTGTAAGAAATTTCTGGGTTTATTGAGCCAAGGACCCATGGGATAGAGTCTATGGAGTCTCTGATTTTTTGGCATGTACCTTTGGTCTCCATAACACTAATAATATGTTTTGCATTCTAGAAGGACATAAATAAAAACACTATAGTATGGGGTAGAGCCAAAGAGTTATGGGACTGTTGTGTCCTTGATCTATAGATGCTAATTTGAATTTCTTAACCCTTTAGGGGCTATGATTGATGCTGAGATCACCCAGCCCAACTCCATGGATTATGCTGAAGGAAAAGATGTGAACCTGCCTTGTAACCACTCTACCATTGGTGGAACTGACTATATACATTGGTATCGGCAAAATCCCAATCAAAGGCCACAGTATATAATTCATGGCTTACGAAACAAAGTGACTAACAACATGGCCTCTCTCATCATCACAGAAGACAGAAAATCCAGTACCTTGATCCTGCCTCGGGTTACCTTGAGAGACTCTGCTGTGTACTACTGTGCTGTGAGAGACACAGTGGGACAGATGGGACTGCACCTGTGCAACATCTCCCTGGCAAGAGAAGGTGGGGGAGGCAGCAGCTATTCAGAGCAAATCTAGAGCCATCTAGGAGCATCAGAGAGCAATATGAAAGGAAGAAAATGAAAGGAAGGAAGTAGGAGAACATGAATAAGGAAAACAAGAAAGACAGTAAAGAGAGGACAAGGAGTGAGCACTTAATTTGTTGATGTGGCTGAGAAGTATGAGGAAACTAAGAATTATAAGGTTAACGTAGCAATAAAGTAAAGCGGTATTAAGAATTTATCATGGCTTCTCTGCATGTCAATAAAATGTTGGTTTCAGTATTTTAGCCTAAAAAAAAATATGGAGGAAAAGAAAAATAATTATACTTGTCCCAAAGGTGTCTTTTATTTGGATGCAGAGATAAGTCCAAGTTTGGAAATGCATGCTACTATAGTTGTTCTGCTTATCAGAAACAAATTACTCTTTCTCTAAGAGAAATCTGAAATGTTATTTTTATTGTTGCTAGTCTAGAGCATGTATATTTGTGATAAAGAAGTTCTTTTGGAAAGAAACAATAATTAAATTAATATTAACTTATTTTTAAATGTCTAGAAGTCCTGCATCTAAAAAAGAGTTTTCATAATTTTTTGATATTCCATAAAAGATTCAGGCAGAGCTAAAGTAAAAGCCTAGTTATATCTCCTTCATTTCACTGTAGCTTCCACTGTCCTTCTCAGAGTTTAAGATTATTTAAAGTATCATGCCAGACTGATTTCTTTCAAATAAATAATTTCATGCAACTACATACATATTTACACACACATATACACACACCCACATACAACTTATCATTTAAATTGGATTTACTTGAATTTTTTGCAACTTACCTTCTGTGTGTTTTTTTAAAATACTGTCCTGGAGATTTTTCTACAGTAGAAAAAAAAGTGTAGAAGTCTATTTGCTTCTTTTTTATGGCTCTATAGTACTTTGAAAATTCCATCATTTAATTAGTTACTTTCCTATTTATGGATATCTGTTTCTATTTCTTTGCTGTCACAAAGAACTTTCTCATACATCTTTGTAGATTAATTTTTGTATGTATGTGGAATTATATATTTTAATGAGATTTCTGAAATTGAAATTGCTAAGTCAAAGAAAGGCACATTTAAATTTTTTGGAGAAAATTACAATTTGTCCTCCATATGGTATAAACAATTATATTCCAACTTTCAGTGAGTGAGAAGGCTTATTTTACAAATTGGGAATTACAAGTATTTTTTTCTTTAACAACCTAAATATACTTTATCTATTTGCATTTTCCTGATTCCTAGTGCTTTTTGAATTTTTTTTCTCTCCATATATTGGCACTCTATCATTTGCTCTTGGCCAATGCTTATACCTACTTTTTGACCATTTTTCTATTGGATCTTTTTTTTTGTAGGAATTATTTCTATATCTTGGAGGGTATTTTGTTTGATTATTTTATTCTAACATGCTAGTTTCTATTTTGTTTATTGTTAAATGTGGTTGTCTTTAATTTTCACATCATCTAATCTATCAAGTATTTATTTCTTTTTGTCTTCAAAGGTCAGTGTCATTTCAGGAAAGCCCTAAATGTATTATATCTTTTCATCTTCATTACCATTTAATGAGTTAAGAATTGCTTTGAGATCTGTGTTGCTTATTAGAAATCCAAGCCTCAAAGAGATTGAAAAACTTGCCAACATCACAGTCTTAATAAGTGTTATCATCAACTTTTTCATTTATTTTTAAACCTGAGGTTGTCAAGCTTCAAAATCTGAGCATATGTTGTTTAATCTTGCCTTACTTGAAGCAATAGTATGAAGAAACCTTTTGGAATAATGAACCAGTGGAAAGTCAGTGGAATGAATCATAGTAACCATCCCAGAAGGTGACATGTATTTTAAAGCAAAATGTCAAAATATTAGAGTAGGAATCTTGAGTTATGAGTTGAGAAAAGCAATGGTTCCTTATCCTATTAAAAGATAGTGTTAGTCTCCTAAATATTCAAATAACAGCATAAATAAATGTTCTTATTTATATTATTTATAGAGAGATTTTGAAGCATCCGTAGCTCCTTTTTAGCTATACATTTTCTGAAGCAGAACTGATATAGAAGAAATTAGTACACAAGGCAGAGAAAATAGGAGAGAGGAGTTCTGATCCTTGGTGTGAATGGCATTCAAGATACTCTTGGATCTTCAAAAAGGCTGAGAAATTTGTCCTAGTACATAGGATGTGTACATATTGATTAAAAACAAAAAGATCTTCAAATAATAAAACAAGCAAACTGACAGAAAAATGTAAAAGTCTTAAGCAGGTACTTTACAAAAGAAGATATTCAAATGTAAAATAAACATGCCATTTCTATAAAGTAAAAAAAGCAGACATAAGTAATCTATATTGTTAGAAGTCAGAATCGTGTTAACTATGGAACAGAATCATAAAGGTCATAAAGGGAACTCTCAAGTGTTGGTGATGTTCTGTTTCTTAATCTGGATGCTGATTATAAGGGTGTCAATATTTTGAAAATTTATCAAGCTGCACATGTATAATATATTTATACTTTCTTTTATGTATCTTATACTTCAATAAAAAAGTTTAATATGCTACAATGGCCTCATTAATTACTAGGTGATGTGTGAGCTTAAAATAAAATTTCAAGTGTTTTAATTTTTCTTTTTTGTACCTAAAATATATAAGTACACATTTGTTAAATAAACATGACTTTAGACCAGAGGTGGGCAAACTTTTTGACTCGAGAGCCACAATGGGTTCTTAAACTGGACCGGAGGGCCGGAACAAAAGCATGGATGGAGTGTTTGTGTGAACTAATATAAATTCAAAGTAAACATCATTACATAAAAGGGTACGGTCTTTTTTTTTTTTTAGTTTTATTCATTTCAAACGGGCCGGATCCGGCCCGCGGGCCGTAGTTTGCCCACGGCTGCTTTAGACTGTGACTAAATCTGACTCTTTATTAAAATACCATAAATGAGAAATGTCTTTTTTTCCTCTGTCTGGGATGCAAATGTAGGACTTTTGACCCTTGATATGTAGTATCAAGATGCCTAGCTATTGTACTCTTTTTTTAAAATATTTTATTTTATTTTTTACAGAGAGGAAGGGAGAGGGATAGAGAGTCAGAAACATCAATGAGAGAGAAACATTGATCAGCTGCCTCCTGTACACCCTCAACGGGGGATGTGCCCGCAACCAAGGTACATGCCCTTGACCGGAATCGAACCTGGGACCTTTCAGTCTACAGGCTGACGCTCTATCCACTGAGCCAAACCAGTTAGGGCACTATTGTACTCTTGAAACCTATATGATTTTATTCTCCAATGTAACCCCAACAAATTCAATTGAAAATCATTATATAGTGAAAACAAACAAATAAAAGAAGCCTATCTGTTAACATTTTGAATTATTAGAAAAAGTGGAAAAGTCTATTGAATAGGAAAGGATGATAAATTGCTTAGGACACTTACATCTTTACTGATTGTATAAAGATGTAATAATTCAGTGAAATAGTTTCTATTCATGAAAAATAATCTGCCAGCCATTGTAGGTGAGTTTATTGGTGCAGTAGCTCTTCTGGTCCTCTGAGCTCAGAAAAGAGAACAAGATCCTATATGAAGTGCAGCCCTTGATGAATCCTTCCCACCCCACAGGGGATGAGCTGTAGGTAAGCATGTCTGCACCGATGTCGATCACCCAAGTATATGGTGACTCCAAACCTGAAAAAGTCTGGGAAAGGTATGTATTTTTATCTAAGAACTTTGACAACTAAAAGAATATCAGGATTCTGTAAGTCAGAAGAAAATTCACTATTTGTAGGTGATGAGTAGTACTTGTCATAACTTTAAACATTAAAGAGTCCCATTGCATTGCTTCATATTATGTGGTCAATAAGAATTGCTAGCCAATATCTTTGCCATAATTAACATTACCCCAGAATTGAGTGCATGGTTCAAGTTTGCTGTAATAGTGTAAGGGGTTCATCCAGTCTTTGGATTTGGCAGGGCAATTAAGTGGAAGAGAGAGGGGAATGTGTTGATTGATGGCATTTATAAAAGAGCTTTGGAATTGTTGTCTTTAGACACCATATTAGATAAGGAAGTAAGAGACGATAAGAGAGAAATTATGTTTAAAAAAAGCAGAGGGATCAAATACTAAATTATCAATAGATAGGAGAGCAAGAAATAAGATTCATAGTCAACCTAAATAAACATTCAAAAGTCTCCCAGCCTCCATTGCAGAGACCTACGCAATTATTTACGAGCAATGAGTGCAGTGATCTAGGGCTTCAGGGATGGTGCTTTGGGAGTGCCCTCTGCCACAGGGCTTTGAATGTGAGATAGGGATACTTTTTTCTACAGCTTGTTGATGTAAAAAATGTCCAAACCTGTAAAGATTTTTATAAGAATTTATTTGAGCCAAACAGAGGATATGCCTACAAGCAAGATCTCAACAGTCAAACCTTGGTTCTCAAACATCTTCCATCTTGAACAATTCAGTTCTCAAACAAGTTGTTCACAGAAAAAAATGTCTCAGTTGTTGAAACAAAATTTCAGTTCTCAACCTAACAACCCTTTCATACTGATACATCAGCATGACAAAAAGCAGCTCTCAGGCCACAAACAAAGGAGAAATTACAGTCAGTTTTCCACTAAGCTTCATGTTAACATCTCAGAAAATTGTGCTGTGAATATTTTGTGTGTGTGATGTGTGTTTTGCTTTTGTTGTTGGCAAAATGGACAATTAGCACAATTTTAAAACATATAGAGACCATCAAGAGTACTAATGTTACTAAGGGTGTGAAAGAAACAATAATCACAGGCAATTGAAGAGGTAGGAAAACAGCTGGTTTGGATAAATGAAAAGCATTTTTGAGGCAATGATAAGTGAAAAAGCGAAGATGCTGCATACTGACTTCCTGAAAGATACCCTTGGAATGAGTGCTGAAAGTCATTTGCTTAAGACTAGTAGGGGATGATTCTATAAATTTAAGAAAAGAAGTGTTTGTTTATAGATTAAACAGTACATTAGACATGTACTGTATATAAGAAAGG